GATGGAACACATGGCTCCCTACGGAGAAGGCTACACCAGCAGTGCGCGTGACAGCGCTCTCAGTTGCAGCATTGCAGTATCAATCGCCGCTCCGGCCTGCACTTTGAGCCGGAAGAAGCATGGAGCAAGTGAAGTCAGGAGTGCCCATCAGTCTTCTTCCTTCTTCAATTAGTCTCTCGGAAAGTACGGAAGCCATTTTATTGATCTCTATAAAGTCTTATCTATGAAATGGGTTCCTCTGCAGCGTAACATGCTTGTTGGCAGCCTGTGTATAACTGACAACCTAAACCACCGTGTGGTATCTGATCTCCCCTGCCATGCCCTATATAGGCCACTTACAAATGAGCAATTGACCAGCCTCTGGAACTATCCTTCTTCTGATTGATATATATTGATAAGGTGCGGGAAACGTTTGGTTTCTTCACCCCCCTCCCCCTCCGGAGGCAGGGTCATGGTTGCCCCTCCATGTACTTCATCGCAGGTTCTTCATCACGTGCGAAAATACCTTCAATGGGTCTCATTAAACAGTTGCATTTCCTCCTGAGCTCCACAAGATGGGGATGTCCCGTATACCGAAACAGGAAGTCTCCTTATGGAAAAAGGAAGCGATGCCAGGCACAGGCAGGAAGTGATGTCACATATCATTAGGAAGTTCCAGGCAAGGCGGGCGGAAGAGAGAGGAGAGATTGCTGGATCTGGCAGCAGGGGAGGTAGTAAGATATTTTATATTTACACCCAATTGCTCCCCCCTCAAGAATGCTTTGGTCCCCCCGTAAGATGCCGATACACACATATATAACATGTGGGATATAGAAGTTGGTCGTACACATGAATACGCTCGGCTGATTCTCCTCCATACAGCTCGGGTGGAGGAATCTCCCCGGATGGCTATTGTATTCTAATATCCGGACTGTCAGAATACATGAACAGGGGCAGCAGAGGGAACAAAAAACACTTCCCCTCCCCCCGTTCTTCCAGGAATACCCCAGCTATAGCCCTCAGGAATGGTTGGGTAGAGATTGTCCATCGGGAGGGGACATAGAACAGGTCCAGATTGGGAGAGGTGAGGGAGGTGCTCTCCTTGGCAGTGACGAGTCTGAGACACGGTAGAGACAGCATTGACTTTGGGCGGGGTTATCTATCCCTTCACGTTATTGGTGGGTCAGCTGACCAGAGGTCAAGCAGTGCACTATGGGTGGTTCCAAATTCAAGGCACGCCATGGGCATCAAAGGTTCTGGGTTCTCCCCAAACACTAATCCCCGGGGGATCCACCTCAGACATGGACCTCATCCCTACAAAACCCTCCGATGATCTCTCTCTGTGAATGAGCTCCTCATCCAAACTCCGCACCTCCTCAGTAGACTGTTGATGGTGATGAGCCCGAGAACCGCGCTGGTCCCTCAACACCCCGAGACTCTAAATACCTCAATCTACATGAGCCAATTCGCCTCCGGGGGGAGCCCACCTATTAACCCCCTCATATCCCCATCCTGATATTATAACCCCAGTACAATCCTCATCATTCTCCTCTACAGAGACCTTTGAGTCGGGACCTCTTATAATACAATCTAGCTCAATTCTTTGAGCACACGTGGGTGTATTGTAGCTCAATTCTTTGAGGACACGTGGGTGTAATACATCTCAATTCTTTGAGGACACGTGGGTGTAATACAGCTCAATTCTTTGAGGACACGTTGGTGTATTCTAGCTCAATTCTTTGAGGACACATCGGTGCATTGTAGCTCAATTCTTTGAGGACACGTGGGTGTAATACAGCTCAATTCTTTGAGGACACGTGGGTGTAATACAGCTCAATTCTTTGAGGACACGTGGGTGTAATACAGCTCAATTCTTTGAGGACACGTGGGTGTAATACAGCTCAATTCTTTGAGGACACGTGGGTGTAATACATCTCAATTCTTTGAGGACACGTGGGTGTAATACAGCTCAATTCTTTGAGGACACATCGGTGCATTGTAGCTCAATTCTTTGAGGACACATGGGTGTAATACAGCTCAATTCTTTGAGGACACGTGGGTGTAATACAGCTCAATTCTTTGAGGACACATGGGTGTAATCTAGCTCAATTCTTTGAGGACACAAGGGTGTAATCTAGCTCAATTCTTTGAGGACACATAGGTGTAATACATCTCAATTCTTTGAGGACACGTGGGTGTAATACATCTCAATTCTTTGAGGACACGTGGGTGTAATACATCTCAATTCTTTGAGGACACGTGGGTGTAATACAGCTCAATTCTTTGAGGACACGTGGGTGTAATACAGCTCAATTCTTTGAGGACACATGGGTGTAATACAGCTCAATTCTTTGAGGACACGTGGGTGTAATACAGCTCAATTCTTTGAGGACACATGGGTGTAATCTAGCTCAATTCTTTGAGGACACAAGGGTGTAATCTAGCTCAATTCTTTGAGGACACATAGGTGTAATACATCTCAATTCTTTGAGGACACGTGGGTGTAATACATCTCAATTCTTTGAGGACACGTGGGTGTAATACAGCTCAATTCTTTGAGGACACATGGGTGTGATCTAGCTCCATTCTTTGAGGACACATGGGTGTAATCTAGCTCAATTCTTTGAGGACACGTGGGTGTAATACAGCTCAATTCTTTGAGGACACATGGGTGTAATCTAGCTCCATTCTTTGAGGACACATGGGTGTAATCTAGCTCAATTCTTTGAGGACCCGTGGGTGTAATACATCTCAATTCTTTGAGGACCCGTGGGTGTAATACATCTCAATTCTTTGAGGACACGTGGGTGTAAGCCATCTGGTCCAGATGCTTTGTTCACCTTCATTTTGTCTGTTTCTGGACCGTATAAATAGTCAGCCATTGTTGTTGATAACATTTTTCTCTCTAACATGATGTGACGTTTGGAATTCCTCAGATGGACACCATATTTCAGCTGCAGATGAGGATGGAGAAGACGACGGAATCACGAGACCTTCTCGGGGAGAACGGCCATATCTGTGTTCGGAGTGCGGTCAGACTTTTAAACGGAAATCCAATCTGCAAAGACACGAGAGAAGTCACACGGGCGAGGGTTTTCCATGTGTCGAGTGCGGGAAAAGTTTTCTGCGTAAAGATAAACTCAAAACGCACCTGCAGATGCACGCGGGTGAAAAGTTGCATACGTGCCCAGAGTGCGGGAAAGGTTATTTACGCAAAGCAGGACTCGATATACATCTGAGGACCCACACGGGCGAGAAGCCGTATTCCTGTCCACATTGCAGGAAATGCTTTACCACCAAGTACAGTCTTTCCCAACATCGGTCGATTCACACAGACAAGGGTTCCTTGACTTGTTCGGAGTGCGGGAAAAGTTTTGAAAGGAGATCCGACTTCGACGTGCATCAGAGAGTCCATTCTGGTAAGCTGATCTTTCCGTGCTCGGAGTGCGGGAAACTGTGTATAAGTAAATACCAGCTCACTATACACCAGAGAAGTCACACCGGGGAAAGGCCCTTCCCATGTTCTCAGTGCCAGAAATCGTTCATAGTAAGGTCAGATCTCCTTGTGCACCAGAGAACTCACACTGGCGAGAAGCCATTTTCATGTCCGGAGTGCGGGAGAGGTTTCACACAGAAAGAAAACTTGAACAGCCACATGAAAGTGCACACTGGCGAGAGGCCGTTCTCCTGTCCGGAGTGTGAGAAGTCTTACATCCGAAATAGTGATCTGGTTGTGCACATGAGCACTCACACGGGTATGCATCCTTTCTCTTGTTCAGAATGCGGGAAAGGTTTTTCTCATAAGGGAAAACTTCATAGACACCATAAAATGCACACGGGTGAGCGGCCTTACACTTGTTCAGAGTGCGGGAAAAGCTACAGAGACAATGGGCGTCTTCTTGAACACCAAAGAAGCCACACAGGAGAGCTCCCCTTTTTATGTTCAGTGTGCGGGAAAGGTTTCAAACGGAAATTTGAACTCGTTTCACACCGGAAAAGTCACTCGGGTCCGCGTTCTCTTTCCTGTCCAGAGTGCGGGAAAAGTTTTGTTGGTAAACGGGACCTTACTGTTCACCGGAGAAGTCACAAGGGTAACTGACCTTTCTCATGTTCTTCTTATACACCTCAGAAGTCATGCGGGTAAGCACGCTTTTCCATGTTTCCAGCTAAGAGCAGCTTTTCGCGTGTTAACAAAATGGTGTATGTTGTACATGGAAACAAATCCTTGTTATTCACTGGAGAAGTCACATGGAGGAGTTTACTCTCTTTACGATCATCGGCATCAGTTAACGCCAAGGCCGTGCGCTGGGTCCCACCAACAGAGGCAGGTGACAGACACAACACAAGCTCACATTTCCTGTCTATGTTCCGGCCCACCTTGAAGGATTGGGTCCTCCTGCCCATGTTGAGGTCTTCCAGACAAAAGAGAAGAGGACTCGTCCCTGACTTTGCTTCCAGTGTAAGCTATGAAGTCCACGCTGGAGGTCACCAATGTCGGGTCCTGTAGAGACTATCGGGAACCAATTGTAGGGTTTCCTCATCATGTGGTCACCATTGGAAGGGGGACGAAGGTGTATTCCGATGTCTCCTGGCTGGTTTATTACTTTGAACAATGTACATTGGTAGCGTGTAATAAAGTTTTCTCAATCATTAAGAAACAGTCATCATTGCCTGAACTACAAGGGTTCAAGTCCTCAGATAGTCCTATAGACCAATCACCGATTACAAGGGTTTGAGGGCTCGGAAAGTCCCAGAGGACCAATCACCGATTACAAGGGTTTGAGGGCTCGGATAGTCCCAGAGGACCAATCACTGATTACAAGGGTTTGGGGGCTCGGATAGTCCCAGAGGACCAATCACCGATTACAAGGGTTTGAGGGCTCAGATAGTCCTATAGGACCAATCACTGACTCCAAGGGTTTGAGGGCTCGGATAGTCCCAGAGGACCAATCACTGATTACAAGGGTTTGGGGGCTTGGATAGTCCCAGAGGACCAATCACAGATTAAAAGGGTTTGAGGGCTCAGATAGTCCCAGAGGACCAATCACCGAGTACAAGGGTTTGAGGGCTCGGATAGTCCCAGAGGACCAATCACTGAGTACAAGGGTTTGAGGGCTCGGATAGTCCTATAGGACCAATCACTGACTCCAAGGGTTTGAGGGCTCGGATAGTCCCAGAGGACCAATCACTGATTACAAGGGTTTGAGGGCTCGGATAGTCCTATAGACCAATCACCGAGTACAAGGGTTTGAGGGCTCGGATAGTCCCAGAGGACCAATCACATATTACAAGGGTTTGAGGGCTCTGATAGTCCTGTAGGACCAATCACCGATTACAAGGGTTTGAGGGCTCGTATAGACCCAGAGGACCAATCACCGATTACAAGGGTTTGAGGGCTCAAATAGTCCCAGAGGACCAATCACATATTACAAGGGTTCGAGGGCTCAGATAGTCCTATAGGTCCAATCACCGATTACAAGGGTTTTAGGGCTCGGATAGACCCAGAGGACCAATCACCGATTACAAGGGTTTGAGGGCTCAAATAGTCCCAGAGGACCAATCACATATTACAAGGGTTCGAGGGCTCAGATAGTCCCAGAGGACCAATCACAGATTACAAGGGTTTTAGGGCTCGGCTAGTCCCAGAGGACCAATCACCGATTCCAAGGGTTTGAGGGCTCGGATAGTCCCAAAGGACCAGTCATCGATTCCAAGGGTTTGAGGGCTCAGTTTGTCCCAGAGGACCAATCACCGATTACAAGGGTTTGAGGGCTCAGTTTTTCCCAGAGGACCAATCACCGATTACAAGGGTTTGAGGGCTCGGATAGTCCCAGAGGACCAATCACCGATTACAAGGGTTTGAGGGCTCGGTTTGTCCCAGAGGACCAATCACCGATTACAAGGGTTTGAGGGCTCGGATTGTCCTACTTGACCAATAGCAAAACCTGCGTGTTGACAACCTGTGTATAACTGACTAATTTCGGAGGTGATGGCTCTAAAGATGGCCCCATAGGAGTAGAATTTTTCCCTTTTGTAGTCACCTTATGAGTGTAGTGACGTCGAGGACTTCCTGCCATTACAGAGGCTCGAGGTGAGGGTCCGGCCTCTCTTTACGGTCACCATCGTGCTGATCTGTGTCCTCGTCCACCTGACATAATAACTTCATGTTACACAAGTGTCAAGCCTTCCTAAAGGCGACCGAGAAGTCTCACGATGGTGGTATCTGTCCGTGGACTTTGATATTTTGGGGTAAATGACCTTCAGGGACCCGAGGGGGGTCTAAAGATACAAAGTCCCCTGGACTGAAACACTTCAATGATGAGAATCTGTAATATGAACAATCAGAATGATGGATGAGTGCAGTCCCTGTCATCTCCACCAGGTGGTGGTCTCACTGATTCCAAGACAGGAAGTCTCTATGACAGGAAGTGATGTCACCTATAAAAAGGAAGTTCCGGGTGATTCGGGAGGAAGTGGAGAAGAGACGATCCTGGAACTGGCAGCAGAGACGGTAAGTTGTAAAATGAGAACGCGTTGAGATCACATGAAGGTGATGAATATATGATTCTGATGTCTTCCTCCACGTAGAATCCGTATGGAAGGACGGTGGGAATGATATAAAGAAGACGCGTCTGGATCCGCCCTACGTTGCTAGTCTCGGTACACGGTGAAGACGGTGGAACACGTCACCTATCACCGCACCCCGTAGTAGGACACGTCAACCCTTCTCGGTGCAGTTCCTGGTTCCCGGTCCTCCGTGAGTTGTATACGTCTTGGGTTGTTGTCTGGGCTTTCCTTGGTGGAGTGGCTAAGCTCGGTTGAGGTCGGCGTAGGTCCCTGTGAGTGGTCAGGTAGGTTGGATGTGGGCGGGACTCTTGGAGAACTTGATGTGTAGAAGTTGCTGAAGGCCGTGGGTTGGGGCAGAGAAGGGCAAGTTCTGAGTCCTTGTCCATAGGAGGTGGATTTCCACGGACGAGTGAGCAGGTGACAACCTTCCACTTCTGAACAGGCGTCCACACGTGCACGGTCCCCTCCTCTGAGACATCGGGTTCCGGGAATTACTGAACACCACAGAGGTGACCTAGACTGCCACATGGCCCCGTAGAGTGTATGGAACTAATTGGCCGAGTCTCTGTGTTCTTGGAGGAGCCTTATTGAGGAGGACACCGTCATACGCTAGAGTCCGCACCATCGGTTTTCGGAGGAGGGGGCTGCGGCGAAGTGAACTTTAGGCCTTTATGGTCCTGAGAAGACACCGTCCGAAATGAGGGAGAATCCGATACTTTGCCGTGTATGTTGGTCCTGATAGTGGAGCTGAAATAATCTGATTTTATATTAATGAAAACTTGGGTCAGGAATAGAACTCGGTTCTTCTAATGAGAAGATCGGCAAACCCCCAAATGTGTCCGGAGATAATAAAACTGACCTGTCATTTCCAGTATGTGACCCGCATACCACGAGGAGTGTCCTCTACTGATCACATGACCACCTCAATGAAGATGGAGGAGGACTGGAGTCACCGGATGGAGAAGATACTGAACCTCACCCTGGAGATCATCATCCTGCTGACCGGAGAGGTGAGGAGGATTCTGGGAGGTCACATGACCTGACCGGAGGGGTGAGGAAGATTCTGGGAGGTCACATGACCTGACCGGAGGGGTGAGGAGGATTCTGGGAGGTCACATGACCTGACCGGAGAGATGAGGAGGATTCTGGGAGACATAACTCATTGTCATTCTTTCTCAGGGTTTTGACGTTGTGAAGAAGTCAACTTGTAAAGAATTGAAGCTCAACAGACGTCTCCATGGTCCATCCAGCGCGGCGCTTCCAACTCAACTCCCAACTCCCGAGAGAAAGATGGAGAAGAAGGTTCTAGAAGTCACCAAGAAGATGAAGGAGCTTCTGGCGGGAGAGGTGAGCGGTGCCGGGGATTCTGGGACATGATCCAGGAACAGACAAGGGGCGTGTCTGGGTGGTGACGGGAGAGGTGGGCGGTGCCGGGGATTCTGGGACATGATCCAGGAACAGACAAGGGGCGTGTCTGGGTGGTGACGGGAGAGGTGGGCGGTGCCGGGGATTCTGGGACATGATCCAGGAACAGACAAGGGGCGTGTCTGGGTGGTGACGGGAGAGGTGGGCGGTGCCGGGGATTCTGGGACATGATCCAGGAACAGACAAGGGGCGTGTCTGGGTGGTGACGGGAGAGGTGGGCGGTGCCGGGGATTCTGGGACATGATCCAGGAACAGACAAGGGGCGTGTCTGGGTGGTGACGGGAGAGGTGGGCGGTGCCGGGGATTCTGGGACATGATCCAGGAACAGACAAGGGGCGTGTCTGGGTGGTGACGGGAGAGGTGGGCGGTGCCGGGGATTCTGGGACATGATCCAGGAACAGACAAGGGGCGTGTCTGGGTGGTGACGGGAGAGGTGGGCGGTGCCGGGGATTCTGGGACATGATCCAGGAACAGACAAGGGGCGTGTCTGGGTGGTGACGGGAGAGGTGGGCGGTGCCGGGGATTCTGGGACATGATCCAGGAACAGACAAGGGGCGTGTCTGGGTGGTGACGGGAGAGGTGGGCGGTGCCGGGGATTCTGGGACATGATCCAGGAACAGACAAGGGGCGTGTCTGGGTGGTGACGGGAGAGGTGGGCGGTGCCGGGGATTCTGGGACATGATCCAGGAACAGACAAGGGGCGTGTCTGGGTGGTGACGGGAGAGGTGGGCGGTGCCGGGGATTCTGGGACATGATCCAGGAACAGACAAGGGGCGTGTCTGGGTGGTGACGGGAGAGGTGGGCGGTGCCGGGGATTCTGGGACATGATCCAGGAACAGACAAGGGGCGTGTCTGGGTGGTGACGGGAGAGGTGGGCGGTGCCGGGGATTCTGGGACATGATCCAGGAACAGACAAGGGGCGTGTCTGGGTGGTGACGGGAGAGGTGGGCGGTGCCGGGGATTCTGGGACATGATCCAGGAACAGACAAGGGGCGTGTCTGGGTGGTGACGGGAGAGGTGGGCGGTGCCGGGGATTCTGGGACATGATCCAGGAACAGACAAGGGGCGTGTCTGGGTGGTGACGGGAGAGGTGGGCGGTGCCGGGGA